GAATTCCAATACCAATAAAAGAGTTTAGCCTTCATACCTTGAAAGAGCTTTTTGTAGTGCCACAATAATGTCCTAACACTCCTAATGATTCCAATATTTTTGAAGCCCTAGCAAGTTACTTTTGATGAAATTCCCAAGGTTTGATCAAGGTAGAGTAGTGAAATCCTTAGTCCTCCCTTTCCTCTCTCTAGAATAGCTCTCTCTTCTCTCTAAAATATCAGATAATCACCTAAAAATGAACCCTCGGGCTAGACAAACGAAATGGGGGTCGGGTTGTAAGATTGGAAAAATGGAGTTCCGATACAGATGCGACCGCATAACACTTTTGCGGCCTGCAAAATGGACCGCATAATGGATCTCCAAAACTGGGCGTTTCTGCTTCACTCTACGACAGGTTTGCGGTCCGCAGACTAATTTTGTGGTCACATAATGGACCGCAGAACCTTCTTCCAAAATTTCTCATGTTGGTTATGTGATGGGATCTACGGCCGCATAATGGTCCTCAAATTTGGCAAATCTTTCTGATTCGTTCGTGGCCGATCTGCAGCCCACAAACTGGTTCTGCGGTAGCATAGTGGACCGCAGAACTACCATGTTCTGCAAAAAATTCGTTCAACTCCTCGAAGCACTAAGCAACCCTAAAAGTCTGTACCGCGGCGAGCTTCCTTGGTACCACAAAACCTCAGGTTCTAGGGAAAATTTTACAGGGCCTTACAATTAAAGCTCGAAACGCAATATTACCACATGGAAAGGACACACACTTATCACTCTCAACAAGATGAAAATCACGTTTATTTATAAATGTCTTCTGAGCCTGAGTGGACATTAGAAACATATTTATGAAATAAATGATTTCAATCTTAACTGCGTCTTCATTAGACTGTCATTTCTTCTTCTTAATACAATCAATAAATGACTTCTTTGGCACCGCTTCAAAACTAGAAAAATAAGTATTCACCAACCTATTGGGTCCACTAAAGTTACCGTCAGCATGTTCATTGCCACAAAAGTTTAAACAACTTACAACATCAAATTCTCGAAGACCAAAACGTAAAACATATTCGTCATTCAATTTTACATAAAATTGATCACACTTATCTTGAACTAACTCCCTAAAAATTAAAGAGCAACCAGTTGTGTCTGGATAACAACTTGAGGTAAATCAAGAAAATAGCCAAAACAGCTTTCCCTAAACATCCGAAGCCGGACATCAGTCAACTTTGACTGTAAAACTGATATGATGTCCAATGAGTAACAGGAAAAGGCTCACCAACTGGAATATAAAGCTTCCAAGGCTACAAATAAATGGTATGAATTAACAACAAACAAATACAAACTAGATCCAATTTTAAAATAAGATTCAACAATACAAAAAATATAACTTAAATTGTATGTACCTTACAAACTTTGTTAAGAATTTTAATTTTTTCTGCCTTTTGAACCTTACTCTTTTGTGGATTGACACCCAAATTCACTTTGTCCTCCATGACACATTTTCTCTTACCTTCAACATCATCCACTCTAACCCTTTTGCTCTGCTTTTTCTCAGATTGACCAATAACATCCTTTCGAGATTCTAACACTTTATCGTTGTTGGAACGATTTTGTCTTCCCATATTTCGTTCATCAAACGATTTCTCAACTAAAATCGGGGTTGAATGAAAATATAAACTCATCAACCTAGTTTCTCTTCTCATGTTGCTCGATATCTTCAATTGAAACCGGCGTTGAATAAGGAGATGAACTCACCAAACGAGTTTATCTTGTCATATTGCTCTGTTTCACAATTGAAACTAGGTTGAATGAGAAACTGCTTAAAAAAATTATATGAACAAACAATTACAGATTTTTGTGAAGAAATTGATACATAACTCAACAAAAACTAACAAAATCATCTAAAACAGATACCTGCAATGAACTCTAACTAAATAATTCAGTTGCAAAAGCCTAAAAAAAAGCAACATTGCTTCTCCAAGAAATACATGCAATCCGAAAAAATATACAAAACAAGAGATTTTCTAGTCCAAATTATCTGGAATCAAACGAAAATCATAGCAAATGTATCTTGTTTTGTCGTCAATTTCAGCAATTTTAGTTCAATTTAGCAAAAAATCGCAGAGGCAGAGAGAGAGAGAATAAAAACTTAGAGAAGAGAGAGAACGGTCCCTTTTCTAAGTCTGTAAAATAAAAATAACGGATAAAAAAACTGACATTAATTGAAACTATTTGGGCTTAAACTGACATTTTTCTTTTTAGTAGATATTTTGTTTTGGGCTATTTTTGGTTGGGAAAGTTTTATAGACTGGCAGTTTGGGTAATTTTCCCCTTACAAAATGGATACTTAACGGATAACCAATGGGCTTAACTTTTAAATTTGCAAAGACTCAAATTGAAGATTTTTCGAATTTGGGAGACTACGGTTGTGTTTTGATATGAAGGAAAGGAAAATATTTGCTTGGAAGATAAAGTAAATTTCTTGCTTATTTTTCGATATTTGATTAAGTAGCATAAAAATATATTTAATTTAGGCAAACATTATATGAGACAAAATGAGTAAGGGCGGAGAGGATGGTAAGTCGGGGTCTAGGGACTGAAGTGGCGGTGGCGATGTTAAAGGGGGGAGGG